CGAATGAGTGCATATCATTGCATACAATGAATAGTCGACACAATAGGCTTAACAGGTGTTGCACTTTGGGGTTCCGCCACTCGGGCTCCGGCACGTACAGCGAGTCCGCGTATTCGATGAGTTGTAGCGTTGGTATGACTGCAATGGCCTTCATTCGCACCTTGGTATTTTTAAAAAATTAAATTAGTTAACGATCTTAAGACGTCATATTCGTAGCTGAATTGTGATTAAGAATAATTTTATACCCACCTCAATAAATGTTTCTACATTATTAAATTGTCGCTTAAGGGCAATGTCTGCACATTCCTCAATCATACCGTCTGTCCACGCGGTGAACAAGTGGACAAACCGGCGCTTTTGTACGTCATTATAAACTGAAAAAATATCATTATAGATGGCATACGTGGCCAACATATACGGCTTCCAGGTGTGGGCGGGCACATGCAGTTGGCCAGTCTCGTTCAGTAGTTTAGCATACACGGCGTACAATTGGCCAATAATGGCCTGGGCTTCGGGCACCCGGCGTTTGACATCGCCATAGGGGGCCTCCAAATGGTCGTCCAACACGAAAAAGGCGATCACCGCCCGGAGCAACGTGTCGTACCGGCGCTCGTCGACGCAAAACGGATAGAAATACGCTGCGAACAGGTCTGAACACCTGACCCGCCGGTACTGGCCAGCCGTGAATAGGCTCGACTCGTGCCACCACTGGTGAGCCCTCTCGGCCATGGGTTGCGAGCCGTGTAAGGCGTTGCGCGCGAACGGCAGCGTTGATACCATACTGTCCGGCACCGGGTATTCGCGTTCAGCTATATTCTCTGCATTTTAACTCCCATGGTAATTTATTATTTATTTTTATGAAGATATTAATTGTAGTTTACCATGAGTATCTTTATCAGTGATGTCCATGGTTAGTTTGTATTGATTAATTTTATAAGCATTTATCGCACTAATAAAGTTAGTTAACTAAATAAACTAAATAGATATAATAAAATTATAAGGACTTATGACTTTTACTTACTCGTTATTAATTGTTATTAAAAGTTCTATAATAATTACAGTAATTATTATTATATAAATCACATGTATACATTATTTTTTTATTTGTAATTTTATCAAATTATTATTAAATAAAACTCATTAAACAGATATTTTATTTTGAAAAACAATTTGTTGTTAATATAATATAATGTAAATCAAATCAAATCAATCTTTATTGGAATCACTTTCAGCAAAAGCTGGTTTACATAGTAATCCATTAAATATACATATATTCGTAAAAATAACTAAAATAATAAAAATTAATTATAAAAATCAGACAATATTTAATAAAAGAGTCATAATATAAGTTTATCAAAGCGTTTATAAATAAATAATTCAAAAATAATTTTTTACACTTCTATTTTTAATTTAACACATTTATCAGTTTCTTAATCAATTTGCAATTTCATTTATGCATTGTATAATTTATTTTATTTTTATATTTTAATTATTCAGAAAAAGTATTATTTACAATTTTACGCACTCTTTGGGTTACTTTAACACGAATACCATATTTAGGTTTCTTAACCATAGCGTGATATTCAATCACTTTGTCTATGGGTTCGAGTGATCGAAATGCATAGCAATGTAAGACTCGGCCCAAAACCACTTTCAGCTCATTCATAGCAAACCTCTGGCCAATGCAGTCGCGGGCGCCCAATGAGAATGGCATAAAATTAGCTGCTTTACCATCATCATCATGTTTTTGGGATAACCACCTATCTGGGTTAAATAATAGCGGATGTTCGTATATATCAGGGTCTCTGTGCAATTCATCTAGTAAAAGCAATATTGAAATCCCTTTTGGTAGAGTATAGGAACCAACTGTTAGATCTTGGGTGAGAGTGCGTGCAATGGTAGGCACAGGTGCTCGCATTCGCATCGACTCCTTGATTACGGCCTCTAAATATTGCAATTCTTTTATGTTTTCAGTATTTATATCGCAATCGTTGGCTAATATTGTGTCCAACTCCTCGTGAATCCGACCCTGAATTTCCGGATATAAACCTAATATATTAGGAATAAAATTTATTTTGATCTTAAAAAAGTTTAATTAAAAAATTAATCATAAATATTAATAAAAAACATAAAAACATAATTTTTTAAATAGAATTTGTTCCAGAATAGAATTAAGTATACCAACAAAATAAATCGTCCATGATAAGCAGACAGCGGTGGTGTCGTGTCCGGCAAACATAAAAGTGTCCACTTCTTCCCGGATGTCCTCCAGTGATAGACTATTATTATCACTCAAATGTTGGGCTAATAACAGGTCCAACAAAATTAATCGTTTACCGTATTTTCCCACAATATGATCACATTTGTCATCTCTGGCACAATATTCTGTAGTTTCAATCATTGACTGCTTTCGATCGGCAATTGCCTGACGGGTCAGAGTGTTTGAGATATTGCAACAGTGTTTAAATTGCTTGCCAATAGGTGTTAGGTTGAAAATCCAACTTGGTTTTAATAGTGGGTTTAACATTCTATACTCTAATAATTTACCAATATGTTGCACTGCGTCGATATAGGCCCGGTGCTCGTTAGCCTGGGCATTTAACTTTATTCCCATTCCCGTTTCTAACAATATGTAAATAATATTATTAAGCATATACAGTATACACTGTATAATATACATATTATGTTTTAACTATATTGTTTACCTGCAATAATATCTAATGACAGGGGAAAAATAAGATCACAAATATTGATACTCTCCTTATCGAGTGAACGATATAATTGTTGTTCAAATACTCGGCTTAAGTCGTTAAATACGGGCAGAAAGTTGTCGAGTGTTTGTCTATGAAATGCCGGTGCTATGAGTCGACGGCGTTGTCTCCATAGGTCTGTCGACGTGTTAATCGATAAACCCTTTCCTAACCAGTCGTACAGTAGTTCGTACGGTAAGGACTTGTCGTGTGTTTTGAGAACATCCTATATTCAATAAAATTAAATAAATTAACGATCTTAAGACGTCATATTCGTAGCTGAATTGTGATTAAGAATAATTTTATACCCACCTCAATAAATGTTTCTACATTATTAAATTGTCGCTTAAGGGCAATGTCTGCACATTCCTCAATCATACCGTCTGTCCACGCGGTGAACAAGTGGACAAACCGGCGCTTTTGTACGTCATTATAAACTGAAAAAATATCATTATAGATGGCATACGTGGCCAACATATACGGCTTCCAGGTGTGGGCGGGCACATGCAGTTGGCCAGTCTCGTTCAGNCGAATGAGTGCATATCATTGCATACAATGAATAGTCGACACAATAGGCTTAACAGGTGTTGCACTTTGGGGTTCCGCCACTCGGGCTCCGGCACGTACAGCGAGTCCGCGTATTCGATGAGTTGTAGACTCGGTAACACCGATAACGCTTTGCATCTAACCTGTTAAATCATGGTAATATTATTTAATAAAATATTTGCTTGCTCAATTTGATAGGCGAACAATCTCAATATGTTTAGGGAATCACTAAACAATTTTGTTTTACACTATGCTGTTTTTTATACGAATTTAATCTAGTTATTAAATATTTTAGCTACCTGGATAAATTCTTTCACACAATCAAACTGTCTATTATTTTGCAAATCATTGCGCTCTGCGAGCATCCCATCCGTCCATAGGGTTAACAACTCCAGAAATCTCCGCTTCTGTACCGGATTATAAACCGACAAAATCTGCTCGTATATGGCGTACGCTGAGAGCACATAGGGTTTCCAGTAGTGGGCCGACACGTATTGGCCACCCTGTAGTTTATCATACACTCTATACAATTGGCCAATAATTACGGACGCTTTGCGCAGCTGGCGATCGGGATCGGCGTACGGGGTGTTGAGATGATTGTCCAACACGGTATGGCTGATCATCAGTTTGACCATGGTGTCGTACCGGCACGGGTCCGTACAAAATGGGTAGAAATAGGCCGCGAATAGGGCCGACGACCCTATGGGCCGATACTGGCCCGCAGTGAATAGGCTCGACTCGTACGACCACTTCTGAGCCCTGACGGCCATTGGCTGCACAGCGTGTAAGGCATTGCGCGCGTGCGGTAACAATGATGCCATTTCTGGTGGTACCGGGTATTCCCGTCTTGGCCATTGGTCTGATTTGGCCATTATTGTTTCGGGTAAGGTTTATATTTATTAATGATTACAAGTTCTCTTAAATTATATTTCCAATTAATTTTTAAACAATATTATTTATAATTTACTAAATACATTCAAATTCATAATAATTATATAATTAGGCGTAAAATTAGTTGTTTATATTTAATGCTAATAAGATTTACTATAAAACAAATGTGTTAACTATTGTCTGTTTACAAAACACAATAAAATACATCATGGACATTTATCAATTATATACTGTATAATGTATACGTCATTTTATGAAATCATTAAATTACCAAGTAAAATGTCATCTAAATTCTGGACCCTGGTATATTTATGAATTGTATCTGGTATTGAATGACAGTTATAATTATATGATTTATAATTTACTATTACATTTATAATTTTTGCTATTTCATATACAAGCAATTTTTAAAGAATAAATAAATGACACCTTTATAAATATGTGACACCCTGTATCTATCCTGATGCCACAATATAATCGATCCAATCATATTTCTGTATTTATCGTTATTATTAAACCTTATGTAAAGTGCATTTCCAGTAGTGGTTGATAATTTTATAATTGAAAATGTATAATTTTGAGTTTTGGTTTGTTTAGCAAAATCAAAACTTACATTTCAATCACTAATTTCCAGTGAAAACTTTGTGATTTTATTTACTTAATGTTAATTGTATTTTTCCTAAATATGATTTTGTATACATTTAAATATGCAACAATATAAATTTTCACTCAAACATTTCCGGTTTAAGCAATTTACTGTATCGTTCAACCAATGGGGAGGCGGCGAAGTGACCGCCAGTGCAATACAGCGCGTGCTTTACAAATACCCTGGTGTCAGGACTGGCCCACTCGGCACAGACTATCTCATCAGCCAATAAGAGTGCGCTCGACTCGAGTTCCCGGTACTCAGCGGCCAATCGGAGCATAGACTCGGCCAATGATATGCCCTGAATGTTGGCCATAACGGCCACGTAGTTATAAATGCCGTCGAGTCGTCCCCCGGCGTCCATCAGCTCCTTCTCGAATGAGTGCATATCATTGCATACAATGAATAGTCGACACAATAGGCTTAACAGG